CTTAACAGTGGCCAGACGAAATATACGCCTAATGATTCGTTTAGTTACTTTGGACTTTCTTCCGACGTTTTTATCGCTTTTCTTGGACTGGGACCGCAGCAAACACGTTCGAATAGCCTTTTCGCTGCATCCTAGCAGCTTTGCAATCCCTCGATTACTTTTGCCGTCGTCGTGGAGGGCCAAAGCCCAACACCTTGTTGTTCGGTGAGTCTCTTGCCCCTGGGCATGACCAGGCGTGGTTCGAAGTGGCCAATGATACGCATGAATTCTGTGTAAATCATTGAACATTCTGGAAGTCTCAAAACGTTAAAAAAATGCAAATATCTCATCTTTTTCGACCAAACATTTGAGTGCGTCTATAGTTTTTCACACCCTAAAAACTGAATATTTGTCGACTTTCAAAAAATTCAAACTTTGATTGAATGAATGTATACTGGGGCTAAATTTATTCTTCTTTCAAGATATCTTGAGCAAAACGCCAAATTGTTCACTGAAACACGAGATGAGAAATCTATGAAAAATAGGGTGCGTCTACAGTTTTGAGCAGCACTGTACTAGCAAACATTCATGAAGATTCACGAATATTCGAATCTTCGCCGAATACTAAAATTTGCGATCTTGCGATCTAGGACGTGTGAACAAATCAAAATTTATGCATGTACGATTGAGCGAGGTCAGGGCTCTTTGCGGGCCACTCCATGACTTCAATACCACTAGCTTCGATGTGGGCCTTGGTACGTCGCGAAACGTGGATAGAGGCGTTGTCTTGTTGAAATATCGGCCTCAAAATACCATGACGTTGCCGTAGGTTTCCGAGCAGCGGGAGCAGGTACATATCCAAAGTATGGCATTACTTTGCAGAATCTTGTATTCCATCCAAGAAGGCCAGCTCAGTTCGGCTCTTAGCGTTTATCCCGGCCCATATCATAACGCTTCCCCCGTCGCGGACGCACTTGGAGTACATTTCCTTCTCCTTACGTATGTCGTGCCAGTAGTACTGATACCCGTCCGGGCCGCTTAAA